GTGTGGGACGCATGGCACCAGAATTGGGCCATACACGAGTTTCATGCCTAATCTTAGCGGGCATCCTAGAACCGTATGTTGGAGATGGATGGTATCGATACCGACTCATCCGGGCATACACGGGGTCCATCTTTTTTATTGAGTATGCTAAACGTTTGATAAATCCTATTATCCATTGTGCTATAAATTAATTTTGGTATTTATTACATCTCATATTATTTTGTGAATTTTTTTCAATTTAATAAATTGGATCATAACCCACCTTAAGAGTTGTTCGTGACCACTTACAAGTGAAAATATGAGTCATTCATCGATACGTGGTCCTAGACAATAAAGATAATTTCTATTTTTATAAATATAAATCTATTAAAATAATCTAAAAATATATATTTATAATTTAATAGTATTATTACTTAATTGATTTAGGAGCTTGTGCAATCAATATAAGAAATAGTCGATAAGGAGCAACATGATGGTGATTCATCATCTCTAAACATTAACATGACCATGATATATTAGATGTTGTAGGAGGAGAGAAAAAGCGAGAGCGTATGATCTCGGATCATAAATGTTCTAATTTTACTCTCACTCTAATGCTTGTTCCCTCATCTTCCATTTCACGATATCTTGATGGTAATATTCGGTAGATTTCTACCTAGTACGAAGATAGAATCAAAGAGATGGAGGTTAATATCTAGAAACGGATGTGTCAATTCAACACTCTACAAAATCAGATCCAAGTATTGATGGGGTAGTTATAGGACCTATAGAAGACTCACGTCCCTCCTACCGAGCCCCTACAACCTAAAAGTCGAGTTGTTCCTCTCAATACCTAGCAACGAGAAGATGATACGGGAGATGAAGATGAGGACTAGATTTCTTTTTTTAAAAAAGTTTTTTTAATATTTTTGTACACCTTAATGCATTTATATATTTATTTGATTTTAATTTATATTATTTAATTTTATTAAATAATATATCATGTTTTAATAAAATGTTATTTCTAATTGTTTGTTACTACAATTAACATCAAATAGCTATTAATTTATAAAAGATAAAATAAAACAAAAGTTTATTCATTTAGTGATGGATTTGTGATCGAATTAATGACAAAAATTAAACTCCTTTGCGACGAACACATATACACTCACTAAATAGTGATGGATTTAGCGATAGATTTGCAAGAAATTTTAGTGAGTACGATTCACTACTAGAAAAATACCAATTAATGACAAAAATTAGCGACGGATTAGAGACGGACTATAAAAGGCTATGTTTTACGATGGATTAGCGATGGACTAATGAGGGATAATTAGCGATGGTAAAAAATCCATCGCTAAATAAAGTGGGGAAAAAAAGCACCAAAATTAGCGATGGCTTTGTGGTCTCTAAATGAAAAAATTAGTGATAGAATTTTTTCGTCAATAGAATATCCAAAATTGAGTGAAGTTAACTACAAATTTTGAAATCCGTCGCTAAAATTATCAACGGACATGATGTCCGTCGTTAATTTAAACTTATTTTGAGGGGAAATTCCTCCAAAATAACCCAAAATTAGCGATCGATTTTTGAATCCGTAGCTAAAATTAGTGACGGACTTCAAGTCGCGTCCCTAATTAGCGACGGTTCCAAAATTCATCACTAATTTGTGCCTTTTTGGAGGGAAATTCCCCTAAAATTACTCAAAGTTGATGACGGATTTTGAAATCCGTCGCTAATTTATGCCTTTTATGGGGGAAAATTCCCCTAAAATGGCCTAAAGTTAGCGATGGATTCCAAAATCCGTTGCTAAAATTAGTGACGCACTTCCAATCCATCACTAACTTTGGGCCATTTTGAGGGAGGCACAAATTAGCGATGGATTTTGGAATTCGTCGCTAATTAGAGATAGACATCAAGTTCGTCGCTAATTTATGCCTTTTTTGATGGAATTGGAAATTCCTTCAAAATGATCCAAAATTAGCGACGATTTTGGAATCCGTTGCTAAAATTAGTTACGAACTTCAAGTCCGTCACTAATTAGTGATGCATTCCAAAATCTATCTCTAATTTGTGCCTTGTTTAGCATAAAATTCTCCCAAAATGACTCAAAGTTAGCGACGGATTTTGGAATCTATCGATAAAATTAGCGACGAACTTCAAATCCGTCGCTAATTAGCAAAGGACTTCAAGTCCGTCGCTCACACCGACGTTTAGCGATGGATGTGGGGAAAAATTTCCCTCTAAATTAGCGACGAAATCAGATCCGTCGCTATTTTGCCTTTATATGTACCCCTTTCTTCTTCTTCTCTATTCGCTTCTCTCACTTCCACCATACCTCCTCTTTCGTTATCACCCACAAAAATGCCTACCCATGCGACCTCACGCCACTAAATCTTTTTCAAAACCGTTCAACAAAGTGAGGGGTATCTTTCTCCCTCAAAATTAGATCGATTTGTGTTCTCTATCCTTGATCTATCGGGCAAAACTTTCTCTTTCTAACTCTTATGTTTTCTTTTTAATTAGATCATTGTTATAAATTTTTAGATAAATTTTGTTATTTGTTAGTTTATTAATTGTTTGAATGTTGTTAATTATCTTATTATGTTAATTTTTTGTTATGTTAAGTTGTATGTAGTAGTTTAAATTTATTAGTTGTTATTTTATTTTTATAAGCTGTTAGATTAATTTTGTTAAGTTTTATTTTATTGTTATGTTAATTGTTAGGTTAATTTGTATGTTAATGTAAACCTTAAAAATTTAAATTTTGTTAATTTTTAGTTGTTAGATTAAAATTTAATTATTTAATCTTAAATTGTTATTTTAATTAAGGGAATTAATTATATATTTATTTGTTTTTAGTGTTAGGTTAATTTGGTTAGTTGTTTGTTTGAACTTAATTTTGAAATTATATAATTTTTGATGTAGTTTGGTTAATTTTGGTTGAAATTATATAATTTTTGACATAGTCTAGTCATTTCGAATGTAAATTTTATAACTAATTTTATTAGTTTAATTATTAAAATTAAAATAAGATAACATGCATAATGATTTGATCGTTTCTTCCATCCAGCCTCTAATTCAGCCTCCAATCGAGCCCTCCACACGGTATGAGGATGAGGATATAGGATTGGACAAGCGGGATGAGTGATATAATATTCAATCACTTTTTTTGTTTTGTTGTTTTTTTATGGAACGTATTCTAGAATGATTTTGTTAATATTATTTTATTTTTCATAAATACATGATTACTTATAATTGTTTATTATTAAATATTAATTATTAAATATCATATTAATAATTTAATTTTGAAAAATGTCAACAAAAGCGACGAAATTGTGGAAAATATTGTTTTTAAAATTAGTGACGGAATAGCAATAGATTGGTGACAATTTCGTTTTTCAAAATTAGCGACGGAATAGCAACGGATTATTTTCAAAATTAGGTATGGACTATCAATGGATTTATTTTCAAATTTAGCGATGGATTAGTGATGGATTTATTTTCAAAATTAGAGATGGAATAGCGATAGATTAGCTACAAAAAAAGAGCGATCCTACGACAAGATTAGCGATGGATTTTTTTTTGGTTTAGTGACGGATTGTCCATCACTAAATTTAGCGACGGACTGAGTATTTCGTCTTAAAAATTTAGCGACCAACAAAATAGAGACGGAATATGGTCCATCACTATTCACAATTAACGAAGGAATTGAAACGTTTAGCGACGGAATATTCCATCGATAAAATCAACTTTGTTTTTAGTGATTTAGTGAAGGTTTTGTGACAAATAACAAACCGAAGAGACCACTATTTACTTCACTTTAGCAACAAAAATTCTACACTTTAGCAATAGCTAAACCTTCGTTAAGAAAATAGCGACGTCCACTTTTGCTACTAAAAGTATATTGTCGCAAATCCATTACTATTTAAGGCTAAATAGAGATAGATATTGACAATATAGCGATAGAAAATTCTTTACTATTTTTTTAGTTTTCTTGTAGTGAGTTATTTTTTTTTATTAGTAAAAAACACAATTATTAATTATATATTTTTTTATATTAATTCAGTAGTAAAATAAACTTAAATAGATATTTATATTTATATCTTAGATATTGTCTTTCGAAACTTCATTTTAGAGAAGTTAACGTGTTTCTTTTCTTCTTCCAGATATGCTTAGATTAGTCCATGTGGTTTAAGTAGTTGTTCACTATTGACCATATTGTAGAAATTATTTTGTTGGTCGGTGGTACGGCTTCTTTCTGTTAAAAGATAGTACTATAGTATACAGGAAAAACAATTGTGTTAAAATGCAAATTAATTTATTGTAGAAAAGTATGTTATTAAGGATATTAATTTTGTTCAAATATTCTTACAAAAAAATTCATGCTTTTATACATAGTTATAGTTATTGATTCTGAAAAATATATAGTTATAATTATAACTGGATCTTATATAGATATTGATTCTGAAATGAAAAAGAATACGCGGGGGCAAATATATATATATATATATAGCTGGTCAATATTTCCGCCCTGTCAGTATAATTTTCAAAATTAGCGGAATAGTCAATATTCAAAAATAAAAGAGAGAAAATCTACTCAGTAGTGAAGACAAATGTATAATTCACTGGACTTTCCATTCAGGAAAAAGTCAACAAAGAAAAAGACCTTGCATGTCAAAACCTTGACTTTATTTATTTTTTGGAACACCACCAAACTCATGACTTAAGATCCAACACAAATCACATCAGTAGAATTCAGTATTAGGTTGTCAGGCTGAAAGAGAAAATCTTCTCTTCATAGATGCAGTACTCCTCACTTTCAAATGATTTCTTATTTTGACGAGTTTTTTTCTTAAGAATTTTATAAGCATATCTTATTTTCAGTTTTTTTTAAAAAAAAAATCCTAAGCATCTTAATTAATTTTACAAATGGCAGAGAGCTGCATATCTATAGCAGTCTCCCATTTCTACCTACACTGCGAATGCTAATTATCGAACAAGGCTGGCTCTTTCACAAGGGCTTCGGATTCCGGAGATGATGCCATCTGCAGGTACACGTTTCCATTGCTTGCACGTGCACCCACACTATCAAAAATGACTTGATGATTTTGTTGGTGGGTAGGGTTCTTCTTAATTAATTTCTTGGAGATTGTTAACGTATTAGCAGCACTACCGGGTCAAGGCATAGGTCACTAAGGACTATTTCTAGGGCCCCATAGAAAGAAGGTCTCTAATTAAAATTTTATCTTATATTTATATCGATGAAGAATGAGATAAATTAAAAGGTGCAGCTTCCACCTAAGTATGAGACATCATTCTTCTCTTCATTAACGAGTCATAGGTACTAAAGTTCCTACATTGAAAGACTCTCATTGTTCGGAGATATTATTATTTCAACGTTAAAAATTTTACATTTTCTAGATGTATTTCCAATTACCTTCTACTTATAAAACATTTCAATTTTTATTTTAATAAGACATTTTTACTTATAGAAAAGTTTCGGAAAAATATTTGTGAGTGAAACAATTTTTAGATCTCCAAATTTTGTTATTATATTCCTTTCTTTCTCCAACCAATCGAGAGATCTCTTATAAAACCTTTTCTAATTAGCTTGGTAGAAGAATTTGAAGGTAATTTTTTAATTTATACAAATAAAATTATGTACATAAATCATATAATATTTTATTTTTTTCTCAAATTTCTTTTTATTTTTTCAAGTGATTCGCTCTAGGTTTACTTGATTAGGTGTGGCAAACAAATATAATCGAGTGCCAAAGTTTCTTACTCTTTTTATAATTATATTTTAATTTTATTATTTGAATAAAATGTCTACTAGAAATTATGAATCTTGATATGAAAAATGTAAGAAAAAAGAAAGGTAGAAGAACTAATTCAATCCCAAAAAAAAGCAATTGATAGATTTGTTACCAATATTAAACCCCAAATACTAGAAGAATAAGATAAAGATTTAAATGAAAATATAGTTGAAAATTGTGAAGAAAAATTTGAAGATAACAATTCAAATTCACCAAAAAGTAATGAAGAATATGATGAAAAATTAGAAGATGATGTTTCAATCAATAAAAGAGAAAATATTAATAATGAAGATGCAACGACAATTAAAAATATTTACGATCCGGCACAATGAAAAAATTCAGACTTAAAACCGATTGATTTATTAGTTGAGAAAAGTCCAATTAGAGAAATTTCAGATTTTCCAAGAGATAAAAATTCTAGACATTTTTCTATAGTTCATTACATTTGAAAATTACCAAACGGAGAAAAACATGATAGAAAATGGCTAGTATATTCAAAAGAGTTAGATAAAGTGTTTTGTTATTATTGTAAATTATTTAGTTTGAAAAATCTTAGTGCTAAATTTAAAAGTCATGAGACAAGTAATGAATATGTTATTAATATGAACATTTGGGTTGATGCTCGAATGAGATTGCTTAAAAACAAAACAATTGATAAGCATTTACAAGAGAAAAAGCATTGGAGGAATGTATTATTAAGAATTATTGATGTTGTAAAAGCTCTTTCAAAAAATAATTTAGCATTTCGTGGTACAAATGAGAAGATTTATCGGGACAATAATGAAAATTTTTTGAGTTTAATTGAAATGATTGCTGAGTTTGATCCAATAATGCAAGAACACCTTAGACGTATTCAAAATGGAGATATTCATATGCATTATCTTGGTTATAATATATAAAATGAGTTGATAAATATTTTAGCATTAGAAATAAGAACTACCATTATTAGAAAAATCAAAGAATCAAAATATTTTTCAGTTATACTTGATTGTACTCTAGATGCAAGTCATCAAGAATAGATGTCTCTTATATTAAGATGTGTATATATTTTGATAATTCCAATAAAAATAGAAGAGTATTTTATAGATTTTTTAAAAGGATGATACCTCCGGTGAAAGTCTTTTTAATGAACGTACAAGTAAGATAAAAACTCTTAAACTTGACATAAATGATGTGAGAGGGCAAGGATATGATAATGGGTCTAATATGAAAGGTAAACATCAAGGGGTACAAAAAGATTATTAGATATAAATTCTAGAGCATTTTATACACTATGTGGCTATCACAATCTTAATTTAGTTCTTTGTGATATGACTAATTTATGTGCTAGTGTTATGACATTTTTGGAGTGACACAACGCATATATTCATTATTTTCTTCTTCTATAAAAAGATGAGAAATTTTACAAGATCATGTTTCTAATTTGGCACTTAAGCAATTAACATAAACACGTTGGGAAAGTCGTATTGAAACTGTTAAAGCAATTAGATTTCAAGCTCAATAAATAAGAGATATTTTATATCAATTAGTAGAAACTAGTGAGGATCCTAAAACAAAAAGTAAAGCTATTTCTTTAACAACATATGAGATTGAAAAATTTTAAATTTCTATTAGGCATGTTTATTTGGTATGATATTTTGTTTGATGTTAATACGGTTAGTAAATATTTACAATCTAAAGATATGGATATTGCTCTTTCAATACACCACTTGAAAGGTCTTATTTCTTTTTTTAAAAGCTATAGAGAAAATGGGTTTACATCTTCTATAATCTTGGCTAAGAAAATTACAGAGCAAATGAATATAGAACCAAAATTTTGTGAAAAGCGTACAATAAGAAGAAAGAAACAATTTGATGAGATTGAAAATGAAGATATGAAATTATCCGTTGAAGAATTTTTAGAATTAATTATTTTATATATTTAGTTGATCATGCGATTTCATCTCTTCAAAATAGGTTTGAACAATGTAAAATATATGAAGATAATTTTGATTTTCTTTATAGTGTAGAAAAAATAAAATCACTTGATGATGATATTTTGAAAAAAAATTGTTTAAATCTTGAAAACTTTCTAAAGCACGATATGCTTTCTAATATTGATGGTTAGATTTGTTTTTAGAATTAAAAGTTTTAAAAGAAATTATAACTATGGAAATGAAAACACCACTTGCCATACTAAATTTTATAAAAAAAGGTAAATTCTTTTCCAAATGCATGGATAGCATATAGAATACTATTAACTATCCATGTTACCGTAGCTTCGGCTAAAAGAAGTTTTTCAAAATTAAAATTAATAAAATCTTATTTATGTTCAACTATGTCATAAGACAGATTAAGTAATTTGACTATATTATCAATTGAAAAAGATTTGCTTTGTAAACTTGAATACAAAAATTTAATTAGAGATTTTGCATCTCGGAAAGCAAGAAAAATACATTTTAAATAATGTTTAATATTTATTTATTTTATGAAAAAGTCTCTAAAATATTATTTTACCTATGGTCACATACATTATAAAGCTAGCCACGATGAGCAAGGAATCTCTCGCTACTTGTTTTACCCCGTGTTTGGATTCGATTAAAAGTGAAGGAAAGGAAAGAAAACTAAGGAGGAAAGAAAATTTTCCTTCGTTTGTTTTCGGAAGGAAAAGCTGTGGAAAGAAAAAAATAATAAACAAACTTAAGATTGGTGGGACCCATTTTCCTCCCAAAGTTGGGAGGAAACTAGGAGAAAAGCGTGATACATAACTTTTTTTGTTTTGTTTTTCACATTTCACGCCCTTACCTCAGTTGTCCCCTTTCTTTTCTTCTCTCCACTAACAAAACGAGATCTACAAATCAAGTTATTGAACCTTGCATTAGTTCATCCATGACAAACATATTCTTTGGGTCACATTTGAGACTATAAGAATACATGCATGTGTTTTGTGTTGGGAACATTGGAGTGTTTCTTTATTTTATTTTTTTTTCTGAAGAAAATTCAAAGCATATGGACTTGAATTTCTAATGTGCTAAAGCTGAATTGTCTTGGCCTTTTCATTATTTACCTATTTTACATCTAAGTATAAGGTGCTTAACGTGTATGAGCCTTTAAAAGGAACAAAATATGAATAACTAAATGGTTGGCTGTAATGTAGCCATCACTACTATTAACAATGATCATGGAAGTAGGTAAACATTTAGCGGTTTCATGTCCTATGTTAACGTGATCTTATTCTTGAGGAACCAGCTTTTTTCATTCAAAAGATTAGATGAACAAAATCTTCCATTCTGGTTGTAAATACTTCTCTATGAATAGATTAGCTAGTAGGTAAAGAGTTTATAATTTATTTTGGATGAGCAAATCAATTGATGCCATTCTAAAAATCTTGAGAGCGTATCGTGTTGTAAGGAAAGCTCTCTCGTGCTAGTAATATAGATGATATTAATATGGTACATTTGTTAAAGGCCCAAGGGGAGTTAAAAGGTTAGGTGGTATGAATTGTTTACCAAATAATGGTGCGGTGATCTTTTTCAATGTATAGTTTCAAAGTTGTTAACTATAGATATTTTTTCGGACTTTAAAAGAAAAACTATAATAGGTTAGGTGGTACGGGGAAAGGGATAAAGTTAAGGATAGGCGAAATGACGGGGATGGGGAGAAATGTAGGGATAAGAGTGATTCGGGAAACTTGTATAATTCCAATAGCAATTCTTTTGGACAAGGAAGAGACAATCTAAACGAGTAATTTTAATCCACATAATTGAAATGCTTACTTTAATTCAAAATGTCTTTTAACTTCAAGAAAATATATATCTAGTTGGCATGTTTTTTATCCTAACTTCTATGTTTTCAATATGTGGTTTCGAGAGATGAAGTTGAACAAGATGATTTTGAAGAAAGGATTGCATTGAAATTAGCTAAACGAGAGGAGGAAGATCTCAATAAAATAATGAAGGAGAGTTGAAATCGAAGGGAAGCCATTCTTGAAAAATATAAAAATCAGCAGTTATAGCAGCAGAATGATTTTGGTTGTACATACTTGCTTGATGGGTCTCACTTAGATATGGTAACTTGCTTGTTGAAATTTCATACTATTATCAAGAAACATGATTCGGAATTGTCATTTTATTTGATGTGCATGTTCCAACGAATACATGCAATTTTTGTAACTTAAACGAGTTATAGTATTTGATATGAGATACTCCTAAATTCATCAATTAAATTATGATTTTATTAATTTTTGTGATAATTGATGAAAAATATATTGATAATTGTATTAAAAAAAAGTTATAGAAATAACCATTTAATTAATAAACTTAGCGATACTTTTTGACATCCCACCAAAATTACTAAAAATGATAATCATCAACTCGAACTCGTTGATATTAATATATATTGACAATGTCTCACACGTGCACCTTCATTTATTTTTTGTTCCATCAAAAATGGAAAAAAAAAACTCTATAATTTTTTCCTTAACATGTAATTGATGTTTTTTCAAAGAGAGAAGATGAAATGTAATTATTGTAAAATGGAAGGATTATCCCCTTTCAATTCTTGCTAGATGTTACCCCCATGCAAATATGTATCAAAACACTAGCTAGCTCTAATCTCAAGCCCTAATTCTATTACCACCCCTCTCCAACACTAGCTAGCTACCTGCTATGTCATTAAGTATCTTTTCTATCAAATAACACCTTCAAATACTATTATTGCATTTACATTAAAATTATTTATTATTCTTTGTTCGGTTCTGCTTTACTTTATGCTTTTTTTTGTTTTTTGTTGCTTTTTGCTTTTCATGTGGTATTTGTCAACCAAGTTATATATATATTTGTTTCATGGTTCATAGTTTAGGTTGTTATTTTAGTCTGTAATCAATTTGTCTGTTTATTTTTGTAAATGTCAATTTGATTTGTAATATAGATTACTTTGGATCAGTCTTTTAAAATTCATTTGAATTGTTGATTCATTAGGTTTTATAAACATTCAATGCTAGATAGGAAAATAGCGAGTAGAGGGTTGTCAACTGGTTTTGATTTATGATATGACATATCTTCTACAATTAAGAGAGGTAAGTTTTTTATATCCTTCGTTATTATAAAACCATATTTGTATTTGGAATCTATCTACATACATCATTTGATCTCGTGTTTCTATATTATGTAATGCTACATATATGCACTTTTTACATTCAAGCGAGTTTATGTTTTTATGACATTAGTTTAGATAGTAATATTACAATATTTTTCATTTAACATAGATGGAAATGAATGTCATTAAGAACATGCATGATGAAGAACAAAGATGTAATACACTGAATGAGAACTTATTGCAATCAAATGGTGGTATTCCTTCGGTCTTGAGAAAGTTGCAAAACATTCGAAAAACAATTAAGAAATGTCAAGAACGGCATCGACGGATCATGGAGAATTGGGAAAGAAGACACCAAATGGCCGTTCCACAACTAATTTGTCATCTTGTGTATGCATTACACCTAATTAATGCTCAAGCATTTGTAGTTCGTAAACCTATACCCAAAGGAAGTGCTACAAGAGATCATCTACACCAAGAATTAGAAAATAGGTTAACATCAAGTGAGATGTCCTATCGAGATATTGTATGGATGAGTCCTCAAGCTTTCTTCCACTTATGTCGGATGTTGAGAGGAAGCGGTCATTTGAAGGACTATAGGCGAGCAACTGTAGAGGAGCAAGTTACTAAGTTCCTCCACATTTTAGGTCACAACTGAAAAAATCAAGAGCTTGTATTTTATTTTCATCGATCGAGTGAAACTATTAGTCGACATTTTCATAATGTGTTACGAGCAATGATTTCCTTTGAAAGCGAACTCCTTAAATAACCATTTGGTTCAAAGGTTCCACCACATATTAGAAATAGTAGTACATTTTTTTCTTTTTTCAAGGTAAGAAACCTTCGTTATATTTTACATAAACAACTTTTCTAAGATATTTATTTATTTAATAATTATATAATATATGAAAGCATTTATACATGATTGTATTGGGACAATAGATAAAACACATATTCGTGCTAAGGTACCAAATGATATTGCAATCGGATATCGAGGTCGAAAAGATTGGCCAACATAAAATGTATTAGGCTAGCTTGTGACTTTGACATGAAGTTTACGTATGTTTTAAGCTGGATGGGAGGGAACGACATTCGATTCAATAATTCTAAAAAATGCTATAAAAAGGGAAGACAAACTGATAATTCCTCGAGGTTAGTTTAATTAGTATAGATTTCTACTCTCAAGTTTTTGAATGCAATTACATATCTTCTAATTGTATGTAATCATTTTTCATAGGAAAATATTATTTGGTGGATGTGGGTTACATGCTAAAAAGTACACTACTCACCCCATATAGAGGTGTGCGATACCATTTGAAAGAATATTCTGTACATGGCCCCGAGCATTATAAGAAGTTATTCAACCATCGTCATGTCCGCCTTCGAAATGTCATTGAAAGAGCATTCGGTGTAATGAAAAAGAGATTTTCCATCATCGCAAGTGAAACGGAACCACATTACTCATTTCATACAATGACGGACATAGTGCTGGCCTATTTTATATTGTATAACTATTTGATTGGAGTAGATCCCGATGATGTTATCCTTGCTGAAGTTGACAAAGAGCTACTTGAAAGCGATAGTCAAGAAAACTAAGAAATATATGGTGGACGCAATGCCGATCAAGAAGCAAGAGAAGGAGCACTTTTGCGAGATTCTATAGCGATGGAAATGTGGAATGCCTATGAAAAAAATTTGTAAAATGTAAATAAACCAATTAGTTGATTGCTTTTCCTATTATTAATATATTTTGATGTGAATTAGAATAATATGTACGTGTTATGACTTTAATGCAAGTTAATGATGTCCGTAGTTTTAACATGTATTGTTGTGTTTTTGCTATGTATATTATACCAGTATGTATGAATTATGACACTAATTCAAGTTAATAAAGTGTTTAATGTTAACATTTATTACTGTTTTTTGTGTTCTTAACGTATTTTCAAGTTGTCAAGTATATTACAAAATTGTTTAATTAAAATGGATGCTTTGCGGTATAGAAGATGCGTAGGGAGAAGCAATAAAAGGGTTCACATGACAATGGTTCTACCGAAAGCAATATCTTTTAGAGCATCGAAATGGATATTATATTAATTGATTGCATGCTTGAAGAGAAAATCAAAGGTAATCGACTAGAAGGACATTGGACAACAACGACCTTAGATAACATGTTACGGGTTCTAAGGGATAAATTTAGGAATCACATCCAAAAGAACCATATTAAGAATAGACAAAAGATATTGAAGATAACTTTTAGTGAGGCAAAAGACTTATTTCATGGTGCAAGTGGATTTGGCTAGAATCCCGAGATAAAGACTTTTTAAGCAAGTACCGAGGTTTGGGGAGAGCTAATTCGAGTGACTATCATATATAACTTTTATGAATAAATTACTTTCAAAGTACATGATAAATTACTCTTAATGTGTAGGTAAAACCAAAAGCGCAAAAGTGGATGCATCATCCAATCAACAACTATGATAAATTGTATAAGATATATGGCCAAGGTAGAGCTACTGGAGAGGGTTCTGCAAGTGCTTGAGAGAGGGTGATGATGTGAGAAAGGGAAGGTTCCTTTATCCAATTTGATCTCAATGAGGACAATATCGTAACATCGGATAGCGAAACAAATTAGGGAAATTAAGTGCCAAGCTACAATGCAAATGTTAACTTCTATACTCCCGAGTATGTAGCTTCGCCCAATTCCGAAGAAACAAACTCATTTAGAGGCATTAAACATAAATCTCATATGGTAGAAGCAATTTAGAGTCAATCCGAAATGGTGCGTTTAAGAATGAAATAAGTCTCCGAATTAATGAAGGAAGGAAATGCAATTGCGAGAGAAGTCATTGCAAATTTTAGAAAGGGGCAATGAAATACTAAAAGAAGGGAACTTCATTGCACATAGGTCATTGACCATTTTAGAGAGGGGACGTCAAAATTTTTTTCATGAGGATGAGATATTCACCGAGCTTGAAGCGATAAGATTGCAATCTAGCTTCCAAATGAGTGCATATCGCTTTTTGGCTGATAATGCGTCACTTATAGGATAATTCTTTGGGTTGCCTTGTCATAGAAGATTTGAATTTCTAACCCATGTGATGGTTGAAAGAAGTGGTCGATGAAAGTAAGTTAATCATACACATGTTGGAGTATAATATGTTGTTTTTTTCAATTGTTTCAAATTTTTTGAACTTGCAAATTGTTCCTTTATTGTTGCTCAATGTACACTTCTACTTCCTTGTTATGTTTTTTTTTCTATTATTTTGCAGCTGGGCTACTTGTGTGCGCAATCAATTGGTGAAGTAAAATGCAAGAGAACTTATTCGAATCACACTTGAATTTTTGTTGTATTGTGATCTTCAAGTGTATTTAGCGGCTATTATATGTGGATATTGTCTTAAATTGTAATGACTTAATTAGAAACTCATGTAACTTGATTGTGGTAGTAGAACAAATTGATGCTAAAACTTTCATAATTATTGTAATGTGTATGTACAAATTGATCCTAAAACTTACCTAATTATATGTAGTACTTGGGAGAGTAGATGTAAACTTGTATTGTGATGTTCGTATCCTTTTTTTATCAAATAAGTAAGAGTTTTCATTTATCCATCCTCTAATCTAAAAGTTATTACTCACGTAGAGAAAATTAATTTTTAATTAATTTTTGTTGATCGAGCTTAATTAATAGGAACGTGGGTAGTGCTTGTGAATGCATCCATTTCCATCTAAAATTTGATGTCTACTAGGATTTATAATCACATAACAAAATCAAACCCACAACTTAAGGGTGATAAACAAGTAAGAATCCAAGCTAAAACTTGGGGGCCATGATTTCTTTTTGCATATTAGCCCATGACTCTAAATAAGAAATTATGATCATTTCATTCCTCAACCCTTTCACATTTTGGATCTAGTACTTAAGAGACCCAATACCTCCCCTAAAGCACCAAAACTAGCTCTCAAACAGCTACAAACAAGCCCCAAAACACCCTAAAAAATAGCCCTAAAACCAACCCCAAAACAAACCCAACACCTACCAAGAGCCCCCAAAATCAGCCTTAAAGCTGTTACCAATAGCCCCCAAAACCCTTACAGAGCAACCCCTTTGGATAGCCCATTTGAACCACCAAAGCAGCCCCAAAAACACCCCTAAACCAGATTCAAAAACACCCAAAAAAACCCACCAAAATAGACACAAAACATCTCTTAAAACAGACCTCTTGAACACTTTTTGGAGTTACTACAAAAGAAGAAATAAAAATTATTATTACAAAAAGAAAGGCTAAAAATATTTTTGTGTGTTGGATTGTTGGCGACCATAACATGATATTGTAGGTTGCATTTAGTTGAGTCTTTTTTTCTAGTAAAATAAGCAACAAAAACTACCTTGGGCTTTCGGGAACTTTGTAAATTTTGCAATAACTTTGGAGTGTTTACTCGAGTAACGGAGGGTTTTTTGGTCACTTTAACGGCACTCACATCCCACATTCTCAACCAGCGAGTTACCCTCCTTTTCCGGTTAATCGAATATTCGATTATCATTAGGAACAAAGAAGTTAGGATCGACTCTTAACCTAAAGATGACACTTTCGAACTTTTTAGGTAAAAATCTTAAAACATGACATTTACGAAAGCGTGATAAATGTTTGAAAATGACTGTGTGTGTTTGAAATGTGGTTAAAATTGTGATATTAGCTTAACATTTGCAAATTAAAGGTGGTTAAAAATAAGACATTATTACAATGACCAATAGAAGACAATGTGCCATGTTTTCTCGTTATTATACATGTCCGTCTAATTATGAAATTTGTCTCTTTTTTGTGATTCAATTGACTTTCCATGATTGTTCGCAATGCTACAATAAACTCTTTTTTTTTTTTTTGGGATATCTAAATAGTCATTTTTTAATCCAAAATAAAAAAGGGAAGAAAATAATGGGTAAAAGCGACTAACTTATTATATGCGTAGATAATAATACATGTTATACATATTTAAATTAATTTTATGTTGATAATTAATCGAAATTGGCTATTGAATTAATTAATTAGTAAACGAGTTATCGATTATTCTCTAGAGACGATTCATTATTCATCTTGTCATTTAAGATAGATGCTACATGCTAGATTTTTTATTATTATGATTTGTGCAATTTTAATGAAAAAAATATTCATACAAATTTATTATAAGTATTTATATAGAAATATAATCATAGGGGTATAATAGTAAATATATAATAATATATTTTCTTTCCTCCCTCTTTTACAATTATCCAAACAAGAAAAATATACTTTCTTTCTTTTTATTTCTACTCTTATCCAAACAACAAGTGAAAAATAATTTTCTTTCATCTCCCTTTTCTTTCCTCTCTTTTCTTTCCTCCCAAGAGGAAGTATCCAAACAAAGGGTTAAGGCCTAATTAAGAAAACAATGTTATGCTTTCCATTCCATCTCAAATGTCAATGTAAAATTTCCAATATCAACCTCTAAACATTCAAAGAGACCGCCACAAGCTATTTATTAATTCAGAGCTCCATTTATTTATTTAATACAATATCCATGGACTAAGTACAACACCTTTTATTCAACTTAATGTTACATTTATTTTTTTATAAAAGAAAAAAAACATAATATATTGGGCAACAAATAACCCGTTTCCTATTTAATAAAACATGCACAATAAAAATACTCCTTAAACAATAATATTGAACTATCATTTAAAAAAAAAACTGTTTAATTATTATTATTATTATTATTACAATTACCATGTCTTTTGTTTTTCTAATTGGCATATACAAAAGCATGGTTATATATTACTACAAAATATCTATATTTATTTTTTAACTAAATTACAAACATAAAATAAAAACTTTGGTTTTCTCAATACTCCTTTTTTTAATCCATAAAATTAATATGCTAAATTCAAAATTTCATATTAAGATCCTTCACTATTCTGCTGGGTACATAAAACGAGCATAATTATTGAAAGAGATTTTTATATATAAAAAAACTTGATTATGAAATTATTTCTTTAAACGATTAGGATTCTTATTGTTCAAGCCAATGATCTTAGATTCAATGGAGTACTTAATGTTATTGTTTTAGAAGGTTACTTAAAGAGTTTGGACTATAAGAATGAGGTGCTTGGATTTTAAGGTAGGATTTGGTTTACAGACAAGATGCAAGAGACGGGATAACAGAGACGAGACAAGATAGTAGGGATAAGACTGATTTGTGCTTAGTATGGTAGATAAAACAATAAAAAAAATCTCTTGTCTCTGTTTGGAAATATGGGATAACACAGAACGAAATGAATAAAATGTTAGTTTTGTGCCTTCCATATGCATGTTATGTTTGATATATATGTAGTTTCAACTTCTTCTTCTTCTTTTCATTGTACTATTTTTTAAATGGTTATGTTTTATCCAGTCAATAAGAAATTTTTTTTTTTTTTAATTTAAAGTCAAATAAGATCCTTGTATTGTCTTCTCCTTGTACCTAAAATTTGGAATATACAAATGACACATTTTTTTCAATTTTATTGCATTACACATATTTTATATTTTAAATACTTATAATAACTTAAAATAATTTAAAATGAAAAATGGCATAACCCTTACACAAATAAAATCACATAAAAATATATTGGTAAAAAATATAAAAAAGATAAATTACAATACTCCTTTATTCAAAAGTTTAAAATTTTGACAAAAACCTTTTTTTATATATATCCAGGACACCTTTAATTATTATTTAAAACTAAAATAAATAAATTGAAAGACTTTAAGAATTAGATAAATTATAACACAAAAAAAAAAAAACTATATAAAAAAAAATCCAAATTATATAGTTTCAATCTTAATGAAAAAGAAATCCATTCCAAGCTCAAGGATATGGAGTTCGCCTTTTGGTTTGCAAAGTTGGTGCACTCATGGTATATAAAACTTTATAACCCGTCGATTTTCCCAGCACTTTAACGATCAAAGATTGCAGCTAGCCAAGAAGCCATAAGATGATCCTTCAGTTGTTGAGAGATGGTAAACTCAGGGCATAGCGGATCGTCATCTCTAAAAGATAAGGTCATAAATATATAGCCTTTGATGCCAAAAGATCCGCAGGGTCGTCTGCTTTTGGTTTATCTCTCAATTTCTCCATCTTACCCAACAGCTTCTCTTTAAGAGATGGAACACTGAAATTCCTTGTGGAATTCGATGTCGATGCCCCCTATAGGAGGTAGAATTGAGGAAGATCGGGAGGTTTATTAGGTGGCCTGTGTTTTTTTTTTTTTTTTTTTTTTCGGATTGCTAGGGTTGCAGGTCGAGAGTGATCTCTCATGGGAGAAGGTTCCATAATTGGCTCCCACGGTTCTGCATCTCTATCTAATATGGGTAGTTTTGAGAGGGGTTATTCAAAAATCCTGAGAACGTAGGATCAGCATTAATTAGTAAACGAATATTTTGATTGGCTAATCATATAGCTAGCAGTAATCTATTTGAAAATTTGGACAACTAATATTTATCATTGAAATCACAGTAAAATATATATATATCATTTTTTTCTAATTCAAAAACTCAATTTTACAAAAATGCAGCACTGGATTTAATGAAAAATGAAGAATTAAGTTCAAGCTCGTAGGGCCTCAAAGATCATCAGAATCCAAGTTTTTGATAGAGCTTGGACCGAAGACACATGTTCCCATTATCTCTTTTTCATCATCTAGTCTTCCTCTTGCTCCAGCTCAAAGCAATTTACTTTATACGGACAGCTCAACATGATTCCTCTCAAGTGAAAGCCATTGCCAGAAGGGAAATTGTGCTAATTTATGAAGGCACAGAATGTGGCATTAATTGCTTTGGCTTCAAATAGATTACTTATAATTAAGGTGAAATTGATAATTAGCCATTGTTACCTACCTTCTTAGGCATATAAAGGTATGTAAAGTGCACATATGACTATTACAGGATTTAAGCAGAGTGAGAACTTTCTAATCAGCTCTATTTTGTTTCTATATCAAGCCTTCCCACTTGACTCCCAACTAGTCTCTCATATCTCGAGGGCAATCTTGACTGCCACTGAAGATCATGATGAAATAGAAGAAGTTGAGAAGGAAAAGCTTTAGTGGGGAAATCACCTGTGAAGATCAAGGAACTGCAACCTCTTCGGGTGGTCTTAGGTTGTCTAGCTTCGCAGGCCTCTTCATAATCTCTGGAGTTGCTTCCGTACCTTCGCTCCTGATATATATCAAGTTCCTTTACTCAAATTTTCCTGCTTCAAGGACAATACATGGAGAACAATCCATATGGCTGAGAATGCTTGAGTTGGCAAAGTGTTTTGACCATAAAGATCACTCTGTTCATCATTTTAGAAGAAGTGAATCAAGAATGTCACAGGACCTGAAAGTATTGGAGCTTCACCTCATACTGGAAATGTGCATGAAATGACTTCCAATGAAAGAGCCGAAGAAGTTGGAGGAGATCAAAACCATGGCAATCTTACCCCAGGGAACAGCGGTACAAATGTTAGTGCCTATCCAATGCAAATACTGTCGCCTCTTTAACATTCCTGGAAGTATTGGAGCATCACCTGATACTGATCATGTGCATGAAATGACTTCCAATGAAGACGCCGAAGATCTTGCCGAGGATCAAAACCGTGGCAGCAATCTTACCCCGGGGAACAGCGGTACAAATTTTAGTGCCTATCCAATGCAAATGCCGTCGCCTCTTTAACATTCCTGGAAGTATTGGAGCATCACCTGATACTGTGCATGAAATGACTTCCAATGAAGACGCCGAAGATTTTGCCGGGGATCAAAACGGTGGCAGCAATCTTAAATCTGGAAACAGTGGTACAAATCCTAACACCTTGTAGCCAAAATAACCAACTGTGCCATCCATAACCTATGCTGATCGCAAATTAAAATATTTGACATATGATGTCCTTCGTGGTATTATGTCTATGGCAATCAGGATATTTAGTAATTCACAGCTACCTCACGACTATGGTTTGTACTTCGGTCAGATGTGGCTTCTTTAATTCCAGAAAACTGCATTAATTTTCTGGATATCAATTTTTCTTCATTGGCTGATGTTTCTGGGGATACGTATATGTAGTGTTGGAATGAATAAAACTGCAGCTTTGGTGGCTGTTAAAATATTCATTTAATTTATCTTTTCTAATAAGCCATTTCCTGTTCTCAGGAAATTAAGCACTAGCAAGATGGTTAAGAATCATAAACATTTTGTCATAACTAACAGTGTTTGATCCTTTTTTGCTATTTGAAATGCAAACCATGATTTAGATATAGCATTACTTACTGAAAAGAAAAGTATACCTGAAATACAAACCATTTCACAAGCATGTTAGATGGAAGTAAATTATTTCAAGTAAAATTTAATCAAGTTGCTGAACAATTTGAAGGTTTAGAAGTTGTCGAAGGTCTTACAATAGCATGAAAATTTACAGCAAATGTACTACCACTATTATCCATAAATAAAAGTATAAACCAAAGCAAATACAAATGAACAAGTAGACATGGTATCATAATGATCAAACAAGGATAGTAAAATAAATCCTAAGGACAATTGCTTATCAATTAATCATCGCAGCCAATCATCAACATCAACTGTTTTCACTTGCAAATACATAATTAAGCACTAGGTAAGCATCATAAATAGTCTCGACAAATGGTGAACGGTCCACAACCAGAAGAAGAGAAAGTATTTATTGACTATTAATGAATTTAATCTAATGAATTAATTCCCAATAGCTAGTAATTTGACAAATAATACAATTTACAAGCTCATTGGCTGAATACCATGTTTGCCAGTGATTTCAGCCCTGAGAGGAAAAGCGACCACCTTGAAGAATACAAACCTAAGCCAAAGAAAAACCCTATAAGCCTATTCTCCATTAATCATGAGAGACTGATAAGGAACCCTTTTAATTTCCACAAATGATGAGTATTCCTTGCTTATGGGCTGCTTCCAGGGTTCGCCATCCATCTGCATAAACGATTCTTTCCATTCTCCACCCCTTACTTCCAATCGTATCGCTGCAGCCTGAAAGATACCAATAAAACTAGTGAAAAAGAAAGCATAACTTCAATGGTATGGAGTTCAACCATTAAACATCAACAAAATGGCAGCCTAGGTCCTCTTCCATTCATTCAGCATTTAAGAACTTCAACATTCGTAATCAGCAACTGTGAACTAAGATTAAGAAATGGCAGTTTGAATTTGGATAAAACCTGCTTCTAACATTAAATTATAATTGGTAAAGCTTAAGCCAAATTATAAATTCCAACCATCAAAATGTTAAACCAAAATACAGTATAGCAATACACTATATACAATAGTAATGCCAATGCACATGTGCACACACTTACACATGCATGCCGAAACACAAAATAAGTTCTCAAATATATAGATTCTTGCTTCACAACATTTTATATCTTTCTGTCTCTCAGACGATCATAACATAACCTCTTAAGAGTTGCTAAGAGACAATTCAAAGTAATACAGCAGCTATTCCAGTAACACACCAGCTATGCTATGAAAGTGACCAGCATTCGCTGAGTTGACCGACATATGATGATGTACTGATTTCTTTGATAAGATCCAACTGACAGATCAATTATATAAAAAAAAGACTTGTATACTTGTATAATATGCAAGGGATTGCCATGACAACCAGATATAAACTTGACACTTTAACACATTTTAAGTGTGCACAACATATAGCAAGTTTCAGAATCACTGCAGTACCTGAGCTATGTGTTTGGCAGAGATGAGATCAACCATGACGAATGATGCATGCCATCCTTGCTTTAAGCCAAAAATTTCAAGGAGACCATCATCAACATGGGCCTCAACAAAGCCTTTCTGGAAAAAAAAAAAAAAAAAGATTCATATAAATGATAAATCAATATTGGGAATCAGAAAAGGTAAGCAAGCATAATTTTAGCCAAGTGCGAGAACAAGCTGCAATATACTCTTAAGGAAATTTTTGGTTTGAGGTAATGGGGTTAAATAGTACAAAGGTAACATGATTATGGGTTGTTTGTTGCAAATTACCAGAGAGGGAGAACTATAAAGGAGTTAAAAATTACTTCCCAGATGGTGCAAATTGGTGGGGCAAATTTTTTAACCTTGGAGAGGATAGAGGTAAAAGATTTTTAAGAGAAAAAACTGGTCTTTTCTATTTTTTTTTTTCCCTCTCTTCCTCAAAACTTATAACCCATTTTTTCCTCTTTTACTTGAATCCTCTAATATACGTTGTTTTATATTTAATTCTAATTGGTCCAATCAATACATTTGTTTTTTTAACCTCTTACCACACAATTTTAAAACTAACTTTTACACCAACTTTCCCAGCCTTAAAAATTACTCATGTAATATTTAATCCTCTAATATATCACCAATTTTTTTAACCTTGTACAAAATATAACCTCAGTCATAGAATCCCAGCTATCAAATCAAAATAGTATATAGAAGTTTCAGGCATTAAATAGAGCTTAACGATCAGTAGAACAAATTTGACTAGTGTGAAAAATAGTCTCATAAGACACATATGCGATACCTTTTCCAAATACTCTGGTTTTGGGCTACCCCATGGATTTCTTCCACTTGCATAGCTGTTAAGATTTAAAGCAACAATCGCCCTAACACTGGAACAAAGAGCTTATCAGCATAAATTAATTATGACCAAAATAGCAACACAAAGATAAAGAGAATGTACTGCTATATGTTTGATGTCAAAGTAAGCTTAGCAAAATATCTCTAGCAATAGAAAAGAAAAAAAAAAAAAAATATTTGGGTCAGACAAAACACTTGCATGGGTTTATGGGAATGAATAGACAGTAACAGATGGCTAACACAACAAAGGTAGCGCTTAGAAGCATCTAGTTAGTTAAATAGTATCGCAACAGAAATTGTATCAATCACAACACTCTACCTTTTAGGAACAGGAATATGTTCCCATTCTGAGCAATTAACCTTTTTAACATGCATCCTGAGTATGTTCTTGAGTCCCCTACAGCCATTAAAACTTATATCAGCATATAAATGATCAGCGCCAAAATATTGTCTGGAATTTTGCAGTGAACATTAACAAATGCAAAAAGAATACTCCAGAAAAAATGAATAAATAAAAAAGAAAAACCAACTTATATACAGTCAAAAATATTTGATAAAACAATGATAAGAAGAAGAAGAAGAAGAAACAATTTCAAATATCCAAAGCATAACCATTTCAGCAACTACTATTTAACATGAAAATTGCCGTCACTTGTATTTCCAAGGTAACTGCTGTGAGGTGACCACCAATGGTTGCACATTGCAACTGTATAAATTTAAGTATAAAAGGAAAAAGTACGGATAAGGTTAGCATCGTAAGAGATTAGGAAACAGTGGTCAAATGTTGCAAGAGAACATCTTCTAGTGAAACGAAAGTTATTCAGTGTATAGTCCTTAAGTTAATAAACAAAAAAAAAAATTAAAGAAATAAAAAAAAGATCCATCACCACAACAAAATGGACCATAATCCTAGTTAAAGATCATTACACAGTTGTAGCACATCATAGTGGGATTCTGCATGTTAGAATTTGGAGACAGTCCTACCCTTCAGCATTGTTGCCTGAAGGGACAGCTCTCAAGACTCAAACTTGCACCTTTCCAGGTTGCAAAACAGAAAAATTTACACTACACTAAGCAATGGATCCAAACATTATCCTAGTCATTAAGTATTAAAACAGCGAAGAGAAACAAATGAAGTTCAAAATAAATGGTATAAAACCAACTTTAGTTCAGATATATCTAACCTCAAACTTGGATTGCTTATGCAAGGTGTGAGGAACCAACCCTGAGTGCAAGTGTATCCCGAGTAGATCAACTGCAACAATAGATCAAACCCAGCATGCCATTAATATTTGAATCCTCAACTAGGATTTAGCAGTTTATAAAAACATGATGCCTCATCAACATGCCCACAAAACATCTGTTTCACCGATCACAATGGAATTAATGTGAAAAGTTATCCATCTTGCTGGCTCAGCTATATTGATTGAAGTAGTCCTTCAACTTCTAACTTTTAATTAGAGCTACTTTAGCCGCCATGTAAGAAACAATTAAACTCCCAAAAACTATTAAACCTTGAACAATAACGTAAAATAAGTAATTTATCAGGTATTATCCTAGAGGTCTCTCTTCATTCTCCATCATCAACTCTCTGGAAACCTTTTAACCCTACATATAACAGATCTTGCAATCATACCCATAAGTGCAAGAGGACAACATGAATGGCTCAATAAACAACAGAATTAGATGACATTTCTCACAGCTTCTATGAAGTCCAACAAATGAAAGAAACATAAAACCTTATTAAGACTGTCCAGGTTTTCATTTATATATCCCTTTCCCACCATCATCATAATTTAATACTCCATCTCTCCAACAAAGACTGTCCAGGTTTCCATTTAGTTGGTCCCGAAATACAAGTACAATCAAAGAATTATTTTCTTCTTCTTCTTCTTCATCATTTTTTTTTTTGGTGCTTTTCTATTATATCCCTTATTAAGAACTCAGTTCCCATGTATCCTACTACGTGTCCAGTTTATGGTGTATTTCCAAGAAAATTAACATACACCAATTCATATTTAAAGCAACAGGAAGATTTAATCAAACCTTGTTTGAAATAGGACCTTGTGCAAGGTAAGGCTTTTCATTGCGTAAATGATGGAAGCCATAGGCAACTTGAGCATCCATTCCTGTGTGAACAAACAATATACTTAAAAGCAACCTAAAGAAAAACAGAATACAAAGATTCATCATATGCTGAAACCTGCAAGGTTGTCATTTGGAGCAAAAATTTTATAGTCATTAAGCAAGCCTTGCAAATGAAGTTTTACATCTTTCTTTCATAAATGTCTTAGGATTCTTGTCTGAGTTAATTGGTGAAATAGGGTATAGCACACTGCCTAGTTTGGTTGAGGTGTTAATGTATTGTGCTAAGCCTTTTGTCTAGTGAACAAACAATGCATAACATAAGAACCAATGAGATAACATGTTGAAGAACCAATGAGCACAAGAAAAGGAAGCAAATAAAAGAATTATTTCAGAAGAAACAGTGGAATGAGATAAACACCCCATCCGATGGATTCAAACAAAAAAAAAATAAAGAAATTAAAATATCAAATCTCAATCACAAAACACATGAACCAAAGAAACAGATTGTTTGGAGAGGGACATTCTAGTTTTAGCTCATCGGTTGAAACACTCATCAACACAAGAAGTTGCAAAGTTCAAACTCAAACAACACGATAAATCTCTAAAATCAAGCTAAAGCCATATGTGTGCAACTTTAACAGCCATTGTAGAACATATTGACATACCTATGCTGAAGTAATTATAAAACACTCCTTCATAGCAATTCACTTTCTCAGGCAACTCCCCCTCAATTGTTAAACTCTGCACTCAAAAGAAAGTTCCAACCATTCAGATACCAGATTTCTACCAACAGATCAACATATCAACATCACAAGATTAAACTATCAAAGTAACTAACTTTCAATTGATAATGAGATATAAAAATCAACAACCTGGTCATGTCCCACCTCTAGGCATGTATTTGATCTTTTACATTCATGGATCCCCACCTCATTGTTTGTGTGCATGTGTGGGTGTGGGTAGGGAGGGATTAATGCATTCTTTTGCAAATAAGACAGGCACAGAAATTATAAAGGTATCATGACAAAAAAGATAACGGCCATATGTGACACAGCACATGATGAAAGTAGGATTCATTCAGATAGAAGAAAGGCTCTGAATGATCTTTGTTAAATATAGGCTGAAGCCAACACTTAAAGTTGTTTATAATCATAGTACCTAATTCCAAATATAAAATATTATCATTCTTTCCAAGAAACATGTGCCTTCTGCAACTCTAAGATCAATGTTGTTCATACTTTTCACTTTGCATGAAAGTTGATTATAGGCCTTTTCTTTTTATACTAGCTAATAAGCATGTTTCAAAAAGTATCTCATTAAGTAGGACCCAAGTCCAGACATTTTGCAGGTCCAAAACATATTTCCTGATAGATGGTAAATCCTTCCCTCTATACAGTTAGCTAGCATGGATTTTTAGAGTAAACTAACACGTCCAAGGGTCATCCCAGTCCTTGACAATGATAATGCCTATCCTAAAACCAACAGCACCATCAAATGCATAGCTATCATGAAGCAGAGTATGTTCAAAGCATGGCAACCACAAATAAGCCTAATTGCAGATAATCCAAAGCTTGCCATTACATAAAAATGAAAAATCATGCCATCACGAATCAACACCCCCACCCCACCATTCCCCCACACCCCCCCCCCCCCAACACACACACACACACACACACACACACACACACAACAAAGGGAAAAATAAAAAATAAATAAGTAATTAATAACAATAAAATTTGATGCAGTAGGATCCATTACCTGATCAAGAGAACATTCCTCTGTAGGTTTCAGGGAATGAGGTGGATCCACGACTTCTCCGCCTGGCATTGACACTAGAAGATGCCAACTGTAACATCAAAAAGGTAATTTTTAAGTGCGAGTTATGATGTTGAAAATCCATATTCAAGCCACAATTATAACCAAACAAGACTCTTTTCAAAAGTACAAGATGTATCAAATAGCACAAGAAAATGCAAGTTGCAAATAAGTACAAGGGACGTACACAAGAAGAATCCTAAAGGACACAAGCACAACAGAAACAGAAAACCAGTAAGAAAATGCCAAGATACCATGTCTTAACAAATAAAATTAGTAACTATATACGGAAAAACTGAGGGCTAAGCAGTGGCAAATCAGGGAAAAGATATCTACATGCTAAATAATAGACACAATTGTCCCCACATTGTATAATCCACTAAAATAAGGAATTCTTTTAAAGATGAACAAAGCTTGAATCAGCTATAATTACCGGCTGCTGTCATCAACTTCTAGACAAAATGAAAAGAATTTAACGAGGGTAATATATTTTATCTTGAAAACATAGGAGCAGCTTGTATCATAAGAGAATGCTTACCTATCTAGACGGCACACTGGTCCTGTGATGGCCCTGAGAAGAGATCTTTTGACAGCTGATTTCCAGGCAAAAGGAAACGAACCACCCTGGAAAAAAAAAATCATTCAGGACCACAGCTTAATAATGCAAGTTAAGAGTCAGAAAACTTAAAATTTAATGTAAAAGAAAAGCTTACCCAACCAAAAGCCCTTGACAGGTCATTTCCAGTACCAAGAGGAATGACTGCCACAGGAGGAACTGGCTCTCTACCCTGCGTATGAAGTTCTGCGAGACTTCCTAACACCCAACCAACCGTACCATCACCTCCTGCAACCTGTCCAATCATCCAAGAAATTCTCAAATCATACACATACAAGAAATGACCTCATTACCACGATCATTCTTGTACATATAAAGAAAATTGCGTTGATGCCAAAATTCCATGGCAAAACATACCATAATTCTCAACTTGTCACGAGTATCTTTGGCACAAAAATCACCGAGCTCGGCCAACTTCTCTAAACAACCCATACCATACTGGACAAACTCATATGGCTTCACATCGCTTAGGTCAAAAACCTGCATTACAAGTCATTTCTTATTCAAAAAACCAACTGTCTGTAACCATATTTACTAAAACTAGTAAAGCAACTTGCTAACAATTGATTATCCATTGTCTTTGTTTAGCAATTGACTATCCATCGTCTTCTTCAATTTCTATTTAACTTGGCTAAAACCAAGTTTAAGCTGATCTTTTACTGCTCCATTAATGACAAAACTTTCTGAACTAAAACTAAACTAACTACAATTATTAAAAAAGAAAAACAAAAATCCCATACAAAATCAGGAAAGCAGCCTATTATAATTATTTTTTAACTTTTAATTATCCATTCTTAAGCAAATATTTTACTCCTCAACTCAAACAAAAATAACAATAATAAGAAGAAGAAGAAGAAGAAGATATTTTCAACAACAAATCAAAAACCAAAAATTCCAAAACCTACTAAAAGACACAAAATACCCCTCAAAACGACACGCCGAGAAGGAAAAAAAAAGGGTAAAAACAAAAAACAAAACAATGCAGAACCTGCTCCGATCCCATTAATTGTTGAAGCCTCTCTTTAAGTTCAGGTCCATGCCTACCACCACTTCTCGAATTCACAAACACCACCATAGGCCCCTCCGGCGCCTCCTCACGACCACTACTATTCCCTTCTCGGTAACGCTCAACGGTAGCATTAACATCCTTTGACTTGATTGAATCTCGAATTGCGTGACGCAGATATTTAGGGATCGACAATTTCCTCTTCAATTCCTCTTTGTTCACTCGGATTCCCGATAACCCACACCCTCGAATTGATTCAATTACTGATGATCTCGACGCCACTATCTTCGCCGTCGATTCTTCCGTCGTTGACGCCATCGACGAACCCATTAGTCACAAAAAAGAAGACCTCTCTCTCTCTGTATCAATATCTCTGTTAGAACACAGTGACCTTTGAGATTAGATTTTTATTTTTTTATAAGAATAATGAATTCAAAAGAGGGTTTTTATAAGGTTTTTCCTCTGTAATAAATAAATTAGGATTGATTATGCTGTTTTTAATTTAATTTATTTATATATATTTTTACTAAATATGTGAGTTGGTGTCTAGAAAGAGAAAGACAGAGAGAACGAGATAGAGACAGAAAGAGAGGGAGGTTTGTTTTTTCAGAGTGAGAGAGGGATGAAGATGATGATGAGGTCAGTTAACAGTTAATTTTCATGGGCTGGAGTAATGATATTGTCCTTGTTGTTGTTCTTAAATTACTAATTATGCCAGCTGGACTTAAATTTATTTAATCTTTATATGAAAATACAAAAAACCAAAAAACAGTGATTTACTTTCCTTACTCTGTTGAGGATTCTGCTGTTTTGCTCTTTTTGGCCTATGCGTGGTAAGTAGTCGCACTCGGTTGCTTGAGTTTATAGGCTGTGATTCCATTTCTTTTAGTTTTTCTTCTTTTCTTTTCTTTTCTTTTCTTTTTCCTTCAAAATGTTCTGTAATTTCTGTTTTTAGTTTTAACTATTGATTATGGAATTAATTGTTAAAAAAAAAAAAAAAGGCCTATGGCATTTTAATATTTATATGATATATTAGCAATATAAATTTGGAAAGAGAATTTAAGTGTTTTATTTTTAAATTAAATTATTCGTGCACTTAGTCTTTTTACTTGGGATTTCATTCTTCGTTGCAGCAATGAATGCTTGGTTGCAAAAAATAAATACAATAGTTATGCTTTCTACAATATACAAGTTAATGTATCATAACATATACATATGATTTTCTAATTTTCTTGTTTTTTTAAAGAAACAATAAAACACTTTGTTTAAAAATTATTATATAAATATGAAAACATAACTAACTAAAACACACACACACACACTATATATATATATCAAACTGATGCAAAGTTTCACAAGACAAATAAAAATGCAATAAAATAGGCATTGTGTTAATTTTTTATCTACAAAAATAATATGAAACACTACTTGATGATATGGTAAAGCCTTAAAAATGAGATGGCTATTTCCGATTGGTGTAATGGTGGAGTTTACTAGTTAAAGACACCAATGCTAGTTGAAATACTTGTAAAACAAATCATTTTAGTTGGATGAAGGATCGTTTGACAACTAAATCGGTGTATGGAAGGACATGGTGGCTTGTTAAGTTAGTAGTATGAGCATGAAACGAGATGATAAATAATGATTGGATTAAGAGATAATGTTTTTTAATAAGAAGAAGATCTGGTTTATATAATTACGAGATATGTCGAGTTGCATGAGGAGGAATGTAAATTGTACATTCTTTTGTTATCAACAAATTATAATTCTAATTAGAAGATAAATATCTTTAATATTAATAGATCACTATTGAACAAATATGATAGTGTCATGGTTATTGTCGATTGGATAAAAATAACCTTCAAAGCGTGCCTTCATTTAATGACTTTACTTGCTATCTCTTTAATCGGTGGAAAGTAAGTGTAAGTTTTCCAATCGTTGGCGAGATAGGCTAAGGATAATCTTGATTGCATGTTCAAAAGTTGTTTGAATGGGCTTTGTTTGTTCAACCTTTTTTCTAAATGCAATGATATTAACGTAAGCCATAGTTTTTTTTTTTTCACATATCGTTCTTGAATGTAGCCCAAGGGTCACAAGCATCCCAATTATATTATTTACCCTCTTATATCTTGGCAATTGTTGTTGCAAGGACTTGATTTTTATCCACACATTAGGAGTCTACTTGGTTTTGTCACTCATTACATCATTTTAGTTTTAAATGCTTTGGAAGCATTTAATAGAAATCATATGTTACGTCCAAACTAATTAAGGATTTTGTCATATGTTAGACCTAAGCTAAATGCTTATGTTTGGGTAAGAATTGGTTTGGTCTAATTACTCATCATTCTAATTACTCTTTATAAATTTTAGCCTTCTAATAAAGACTTATAGAATCTAATCCTACCATGTGTGGTTATATGTACCAACTTCGAGTTTGTCCAAAGCTTTACTACTTGTGAACTTTTAGTGTAGTCATTTATTTTATGGGCCTTGAAATTATGATTATTCCTAGGATAATTAGATTGTTTATTCTCAAAGAGACATACCCATTAGTTCTCAAAAGAATGTGGTTATCGACTTCGAGGGAATATGGTCGTTGACTTCTAGAGGAGCATAATCCTTGATCATATAGGAGATATAATTTGGAAAAAACTTGTATTATGATATTTGTTACAAAGTGATCATAGTAAGTATAGAGTTAGATAGTTGAGATTAGGTTCCATCCAAAAAGACTTAAGCCTTATGGTGGGTGGCTCCTTCTCAACTTTATATACTAATAATCTTTGATATATTCAATATGAAATATATTCTCTAACACTCCTCCCTCACTTGCAATCTTTCTTTTAGGATCCGTCAAATGGCTTGAGCTTTAAGATCTTTATTAGACCATTGGACCTCTTTGAGGCTTCGATACCATATAACTTTAGATAGTTGAGGTTAGGTTTCATCCAAAAGATTTAAACCTCATAATAGCTGGTTTGGGTTCCATCCAAAAGAATTAAGATTTATGATGGATAACTCATTCTCAACTTTTTATATTAATCATCTTTAGTTTAAATATTCAAGTGAGATATGGTCTCTAGCAGTAAGCTCACCGATAATACATTTTTTAGGTGGTCAAAATGTCACATATAAAGTAGATTTTTTCTCGTTTGTGTTATAAGTGGTATATGTTAGCCTTAATAATTTTTACAATTTTGTATGGTCTATCCTACCTAGGTGCTAGCTTTTCCTTACTTTATGCATTCTTTATGGTCTTTAACTTTCTCAAAAGAGAACCCTAACTTGGAAATGCTTGTTATTGACCCAAGTATTATTGTACTGGGTAGGCTTCTATATGTAGCCTTCATTCCTAATTAAGGTGACCATGCTAGTTTTCTCTAAGAGGTTTAAGTTGATTTTTTTTTCAATGTTTTTATTAAGTATCTTCGTATTCAATGGCTAAGGCAACCAATTTAGCTAGGATAATAGCCTATATTCTATAGGTTAATAAGAATAGATTTTCTTCGGTGGAAGTTTTTTTAGTCGTTATCTATAACAATAAGGTCTAATCCAAAAGTTCTACTCGTTCTCCCTTTTCCCACTTAATATAGAGTCTTTATTAATGCTTCTTCTTCTTCTTCTTTATTGTAAAATTAGGAGCTTTAAGTAGTGATTAGTACTCTTGGTAAGTCAAAGCAACAGATAATATTTTTCCATATGAAGAATACCATTTTGTTGGCTATGATGTCTACTAGGGCCTTTACCTTTACCAATTGGAGAAATAATCAATAACTATTAGCATGAATTGTCATTTCTTTAAAGCTTTGTGACACGGACCTAGTATATACATTCCTTACTAAGAGAAAGGTTATGGTAATGGGATGGATGTTATTTCTATTGATGCTTAGTGTAGTATTTGGCGAATCTTTAGCATTTATCACACTTCTTTTTATCAACTCGTAGGTACCCTAGAGGATCAAAGGGAAATAAAAGCCTACTTAGAGTAGTAAGGGTCTGCTAAATTCCTTATATATGTGTTTAAACTATAGATCCTTTTATTTCATATATCAAAGTACATATTTACTCTATTTGAATGAAAGCATTTAAAAAGAGATCTTGTGATGGACCTTTTATACAATTATTTATCTAACAAGTAGTACCCCCACCTCCAATTCTATCGAGGGGGTAGCTTCTATCTTATTCGTAAAAAGTGTTCCATTCTTCAAATATTGATATATCGGTGTTTCTCAGTCCTCACCAATTGGTTGTTGGATTACGAGCTAACTATCAACTCATTTTATTCTTTAATTTTGGGCTCTTTAAGGACTTTTATTCATACCTCAAGTAGGAGATCTACAATATTTTTTTACTAGCTAATTTTGATAGAAGCTATGTTTGTGTGTTCTTTTTACTTGGGATTCACAAGATGGCTATTTTTCTCCTTTCTTTTTTAGCATTCTTAAAATATTTCAATATCAATTGGTAGTGCCTAGTCAATAAGGGTTTTCTTACCTCAAAGCGCCTTTCAAATTATCCCATTATCATTTGAGAATTGTTATATAAATGAAAGAGATAAGCTTTTAAAGCTTTCATAAATTAAGGGTGGCGATCAAAGCCTCATATGTAACCACATTATTCAAGAAAGATAACTCAAAAAAAAAATTCATACTTAAATACTTCTTCGTCTAGGTTGATGAAGATTATAATAGTAACATTTTCATGTATGTTAGAGGTTTTATTTACAAATGATTTCCATCCTTCATGGTTTGAGACCCTTGATAGAACTCCGTTTCTCCCTTATAGGGTCATTGAAGAAAAATTTGGTAATAAAACTGCCTATGTGTGCCTTAATTACTAAGCAAGAATGATATTAGAGTCCAAACTTACCTAAATTAATGATCTAATAAACCAAATGTCCAGATATGTTTGATTTATGAAAGATTTACTTAAGTAACTAGTCATTCAAAACCATGATAGGATGATCTTAGAAGTAGGGCCTACGCTTTCCAATTGTACTAACTATATAAGTACCATCTTTTGACTTTCAAGTATCCTATTTTGGCATCATAAAGAGTTCTACTTGTATAATAGAATAGGTTTATATCCTTTTTTTTTTTTTTTTTACTAAAGCAACACTAATAGCTATGTCAATTGCCCTTAAATACAAGAGTGGCTTGGATGGAATTTAAAGGGATTAGAGGAATACTTTAAACTTTTCATATGCCTTCCCATACTTTAGAGTCCATTAAAAATTATTGATATTCTTAAAGGTTTCAAAGAAGGAAAGAGATCCTTCCTCTAGTAAAAAAATAAAGTGATTCGACATGCCTAACTAC